AAACACACTGCCATGTGTGTACCTATGCAACTGTCTTGCATGTTCTGCACATGTACCCCAAAACCTAAAACGCAATAAAAAAAGATGTATATATATATAGTTTCATATATATATATATATATATATCTGAAATAAAAAGCCCACCAAATCACTCAATAGCAAAATGGAGGGGACGGAGAAAGTTATTAGTGAACTGGGAGATAGAACAAAAGAAATTACTCAATCTGAATAACCAGGAGAAAATAGAATGATTAAAAGATGAACCAAGCCTCAGGGAATTGCAGGACTATAACAAAATATCTAACATTCCTTTCATTAGAGTACTAGAAAAGAAAGGGGGTAGGGCTGAAAAGGTTCAAGGAAGTAAAAGCTAAAACTTCTCAAATTTGATAAGATATAAAATATAGCAGTATGCTGTGTTTAAAAAGTCAATCCTAAAAGGTCATTCATATAATATATATGAAATTACAAAACTGTAGAAATGAAGCACAGATCAATCGTTTCCAGGAATGAAGGAGGGGATGGGAGTAGAGAGGAAAGAAATATGGCTACAAAAGTACAACAGAAAGCATCCTTGTGGAGATTGAAATGTTCTGTGCCTTGACTGAGTCAGTGTCAATATCCTGGTTGTGATATTGTACTATAGTTTTATACTATTGAAGTAAACTGAGCAAAGGATACATATGATCTCAGTTTCTTAACATATATGTGAATTAATCTCAAAATAAAAAGTTTAATTAAAAATACGTGTCAACAATATTAAGTACTAGCAAGGTTATATAGAATTGATCCTCCTTTCCATAATGATATAAGTTCAAAAACAGCTTGGAAGTTTCTAATAAGGTTAAAGATATGCCTGTCCTATGACCCAGTAATTCTACTATAATAAAACTTATATAAGAATGCTCAACAATTTCACATGTCCATGAAAAGACTTATATAAAAACATTTATAGAAGTTATATTCATAATAGCCCCAAACTGGAAACAACAGAAATTTGTATTGCCAGAGAAGTAAACAAGATGGCATTTTCATACAATGGAACACTATTCAATGTTAGAAACATATAAAATGTAATGTATTATTTCATTAATATGAAATTCAAGGAAAAGCAAAACTAATCTAAGGCAATAGATCTCAAAATAGTGATTATTATCTTTGGGTGGGTATTGATTGAAAAGAGGAATGAAATACTTTCTGGGTTGGTGAAATATTCTGCATCTTGATTGATGAAGGATTATTACATAGGTATATGCATAACTAATCAGTCACAAACATTTGATGAATGTTTGTGCAGTTTACTGTATGCATATTATGCCTCAATACAAAAACCAAAGAGGTATGTTGAATTGATCAGAGCTTAATATGGTGACAATACAAATGAAATGCTGTATCTTTCCTAATATCAAGACCACCTAGGTTTCCAGACATTTCTTATCTACTCTGCTGAAGGTCTTTCAGGCCTTTGAATCAATTCAAATAAAGTAACCACAGGCTTGTCCTTTGCTCTTGGGCATCAGAAAGCACTCAGTCTCCTAATAATTTTATTTATGTATCAACCTATATGTACGAATGTTTAAAAAAACATAAGTTCAACTCCACTGGGTCATAGATTTCACTCTTCATTATTAATTACTTTTCCCAACAGTGAGAATTCTGGCTCTCATGATTCATGATCTATTATATATTTTACTTATATACATTTGTTCAATCCAAATACTCACATAAATTAGTTTAAAAATTGCTAACCCATACCCCTTGAGAAACAAATTTATTAACTACAGAATGGTATTTGTGTGTCATTCTTTTGCCTTTAGCCTTACAATATTTACTCAAAATACTGTTTCCAAAAATTATTTAGGTTAGTTATTTTCTTCTACATTAAAGAGAATGTCACTGTGTTTACATTATTCACTGTAATATGGCTGGGTGCATTTGTTACCATTTTTATTTCTTCTGGGGTTCCACTTACATTCTGGTTATTTAAAAATTTTATACACAGTAAGATTTACTTTTTGTGGTATACAAGTCTATGGTACAGTTCTCACCAACCCCAGGCAACCTTTGATCTGTTTCCTATCTTTATAGTTTTGCCTTGACCCATATGTATTAATAATATAAATAAACTCACACAACATGTAGTCCTTTGGACTTAGTTCCTTTTATATACCAAGACACATTGAAGATTTATCCATGTTGTTGCATGAGTCAATATTTCATTTCTTTTTATTGCTGAGTAGTCCTCAATTATATGGATGAATGAAAATGTGTTTAACCATTCTCAAGTTGAAGGACATCTGGTCATTCCCAGTTTTTAGTGATTGTGAATTAAGCTGCTATAAACATCCACATGGAAATTTTTATGTGAACATAACTTTTATTCCTCTTGGCTAAATATATAGGAGAGGGATTCATGAATCATATTGTAAGTGAAATTTAACTTTATAAGAACTGCCAGACTGTTTGCAAAGTGCTAATCATGTCTCTTTCCTATCAGTAATGTGTGAGAGTTCCACTTGACGTTGCCTAACCAGCACTTGATGATCTCATATATTTGAATTTTAACCATTTTTATATGTGAGTAGATATAAGTTGCTTAATATCTTGAGGCTTCAATTTCTTTCTTTATAAGTTGGAAATGATAATACCTGCTTCATAAAACAATGTTACTCTTACTTGTTTTTAATCTTATCTCCTGTGAGTGAGCAAGGAAAGCAGAGCTGTGAACTAATGGACCCACTGTGGAAAAAAGTAGAGAATCACTCTAGACAGCATGGAGATAGAGATCGGATGTGACAAAAAAAGAAAGAAAAGCAAAGGAAAAGGGAAGAAATAAAGACATGATGAATGCCTTCTGATGGGGGTCTTTTAATCAGAGTCTAATAATGTGTTTTTATACAGTAGTTAGGTGTAGTCTTCAGGAAAACATTTTTTAAAATCTATGAAGAAAGGTGTTTTGGAGGAAGAAGGCAAATACTTAAATTTGACACTAGAGTCAATTAGAAATTGTCAGTCCACTCCATGTTTCTGTACATGGTGTCTCCCAGACAGAAAATCACGGAGCATCAAAGGATGAGAGCTCCTCATGTGTGCTGAATAACATATATACTGGGAAGAAAAGAGAAACAATCAGTGATGGAAACCAAGAAATATCAGACTATAGTCTCCTTAAATTTGGTAAAGAATCAGAACTGGTTCCTAATTATACTGGCAAGGTGGTGGTTCTTTTTGGTTTGTTTTCCTTCTGATGTGAATCATCTCTGGGAGCTGTTTCAATGGATGAAATTATTCCCCCAATGGATGTAAAGGGCACTTCTTGATCTTTCCAGAATTATTTATGAGGCCTTTTATAATTCATGTCTGTTTTCTAATGCTTGTGATTTTGTTAATTAGTGTTATTTTTTATTTTGGTATGATTGTAGCAGAAAGACACAGAAAATATATAAAAGAAAAAGAGAAAGGAAGGAAAACAGTGAGAGAAAGAGAGAACCCCCCACCCCACCCCGCACCAAAAAAAAAAAAAAAAAAGGTAATAGTTTGAGAAGATCAATGTGCAAAAGGGCCAAGGCTATAGCCGGAGAGGAGAAAATAAATTTTAGAATAATTTTAACATAACCGTTTTTGGCACAACTCTGTAATAGCCTTGGAAATTTATAGTGGTTGATAACAACTACTAAATAATTATGGTACTCTTAGAAATTAGCCTAAACATGCATGTGCTCCCATCCATATTTTTCTATATACATATGTTGTTTTGTTTTATAAGTGAGATAGTACTATTTTGTATTTGGCTTTGTTCATTTGATATATTAATTCCTATGTTACAAAATTTTCATCACAATAATTTTATGGCTACAAAACGTTTTATTCAAAAGGTGCAAACACGTTATTTGTCCATTTAACTGGCGAATCTCACTTGATTTTAATGTTTAAACTCTCCAATACAGTTGCATTTATCTTCTCTTTCCCAGGACAAAAACTTTTGTAAGTACTGAGAAATAAGGTAATTGGTCAAATCAAACACACTTCGAGATCTGTGGCTAACTTTTCCCCGTAGTTAGACCAATGAACATGGCTACCAGAACTTGTATCATCAGCTTCATCTGGCCTTGGGGAATATAATTGCAGATAGAAGAGTGAAAAAGAGACCGGGCCCAAATCTTTTCATGGGTCACCTTGCAGTTTCGTCTAAACTCCTTATTTTAAAAACAGCTCTCTTCACTCAGTTCTCTGGAAAGGTAGTTACCGCATGCATACTCTTTATGCTATATTGGACTGCATTGCATTGAAGTAGATGAATTCTACAGGGGTGACTGCAGGGAATTGGTGATAAACTGCTTTTAAATTTTGTGTACATAATAAAAAATGTTTAATTTTCAAATCTTTCACAATACAATTGAGCTAAAACCTTAAAGAAACTGCTTGGAAACCTGTGGTACCACCCAAACAGGGGTCCCAAACCCCTGGTGGGGGGAGGGAACCGGTACCTTTCTGTGGCCTGTTAGGAACCTGACCGCAGAGCAGGAAGTGAGCGGCAGGTGGTCATTACTGCCTGAGCGCCCCCTCCTGTCAGATCAGCTGCGGCATTAGACTCTCACAGGAGCCAGAACCCTATTGTGAACTGCGCACGCGAGGGATCTAGGCTGCACGCTCCTTAAGAGAATATAACTAATGCCTGATGATCTGAAGTGAACAGTTTCATCCCTAAACTTTCCCCACACCCCGCTCCGTGGAAAATTGTCTTCGACAAAACCGGTCCCTGCTGCCAAAAATGGTGGGGACCACAGCACTGTAAGATGAACTCAGACTTTTAATATAAATATCTATACCACAACTTGTTAAAATCCTCTGATTCTTCCTAAGACAATTAGAATTACTTGAGACACCTGTGTTAGAAGAAAACCGACAGTTAGGTTTTAGGAAATAAAACTGTTAACCTCTTCCAGGTCCTACAGAGTGAATTTCTACATTCATCTATGCCATGGGAAAGAGTTGCTCGAGATCCTCACAGGCATTGTGACTTAGGCTTTCTCTGCCTCCTGCTCTTCGGGGAGAGTAGGATGGCCTGCTCTTGAAGACCCAGGGCAAGATTTAAAGGCAGGCAGCAGGTGGTTGGGAAGCACTGTGCCCTGCGCAGAAGTAGGTTCCTACATCTGTAGTCTGGGTGGCTGTGATGTGCAGGGAGCTGTTCTTTCTTGCTTCTCCAAACTGAAATGTCAGTCTTTTCTGCTTCATCACTTCTCCACTCTTCACTAACCTTATCAAGAAGACAGGATGTCCCCCAGGCCTTTGCTTATACCACTGTATATTGTCTAAAGTGGTTGAGGAATTGCAGTATATGGTGAAGTCCTCGTCTTCTTGTACATGCTGGAAATGAGGAATTTGTATTATCTGTTGTCCATTCACCTCTGTTTAGAAAGACAGTGGGAAGCATCACATAAAATCAGATTAGATCTCTAGTCCCTGAGCTACACGTGATTCTCTCACTCCTTTTTTCTTTTTTCCCCCTTTCTTTCCATGCCTCTCTTCCCTTCTCCCTCAATCTTTATTATCTCTCTCTCTCTCTCTCTCTCTCTCTCTCTCTCTCTCCCCCCCCCCCCCGCTTAATTCTTGTTTCTCAAACAGAAAGTCCATTCCCTCTTTCAGATACTTCTCTACCCTGTTGGATTTATTCTCTGGAAGCAATCAGGAATGTCTCAAACTCACGTGGCCATTGCATCCATAAGACACACACCGATGTGATAAGTAGCATCTCCCTCTCCATCCAGCTGCTCCTAAATGGGTTGCCTGGTACAAGCTTCTTCCAGCTCAATAGAAATAGTTGTGGTCTATTTTGGAAAGTAGATGTGTGCGTTTTGGAAAGAAAGGGGAAGAGGTGACTGCAATGTGAGAAAGCCAGTCAGAGTATTTTGCCCACCCACTTCAGAGGAGAGTCTATGTTTGCTGATGCTGCCCCCCTATGGCTGGACTCAAACATTGCTGACTTGACAACCGATTCTTTTATTAGTAAAGTGGCCTTCTAATTTAGGTGGTATGTATGTGTGTCAAAGATTGGAAGGAAAGAGTTTGCTGATAGTGACATTAATTTGCCTCTTAAAAATGGAGTTTGTGATTTAAAACTAGGGCATCTGAAGAAAAGAGAAACTCCCATTTTGTCGCTTCCATCGTCATTAAGAATCATGTCGTGCCATGTCCTTGTAAGTGCGCTCATGGGACGTATTAGGTCACAGACATTTTAATAAATGTGGGAGACACTCGTGATTTATTGTTAGACAAACCATTACCTCAAAACAGAAGACAAGAAATACACATTTCTCTTTTGTCACCCAGATTTCCCTGGTAAATTATCCAAGTTAGAGATCATATCTACCATCCCATTGTGTTACTTTTACACATGCCAGCAGTGACGAGGGAAGACATTCATATAATTAGAAAAAAAGTCCTGTTTTAACAAATAATCAGTTTCTACAGGAAGGCTTCCTGAAAACAAAACACTTGGATAAAGTAGCTTTCTGTTCTGATCTGGCTGATAAACAACTACAGTAAGAGGTGGAAAAGGTTTGAAGATAAAAACAGAAAGTATCTTTAAAAAACTGTGGACTTCCACAGAACTTCAGTCACACAGTGTTTATACTATACCTGTATAACTACCAATTAATTATCTGAGTTAGCCTTTGTGTGCCTCGAAGGTGTGCACTGTATCATCTTAAAGTACCATCCTATGTGGTAGCAACTAGCCATACAAGGATACTAAATTTAAATTAAATAAAATTTAAAATTTAGTTTCTCATTCACACTAGCCACATTTCAAGTGCTGAGGATCCATATGTGACTAGTGTCCACACAGATGCAGAACATTTTTACCATCTTTGAAAGTTCTATGCTACAATACTGCTCTAGAATATAGGGTCTATGAAAACAAGAAATTTCATTTCTTTTGTTTGCTGATAGATCAGTAGTATACTCCTGATATGTGGTAAGCCCTTAATAAATATTTGACTATTATTCACCAACATGTCTTACTCTAATAGCTGTTGAATTATGGATACTCAAGTGTTCATTAAATGATATATAAAAGTGTGTGTTTGTGTGTATACCATGTGATTATTTAAACTAAAAATATTTCAAAAAATAAGATGTTAGAACCAATCCCATATTCAAATGGTATTGGTTTGCCATGTGCCTGTCTATAAAAAAAAAAAGTTTGGTTGTAGCCATTTAGAAATATTACCTTTGGGAGATACTAGTTTCCTAGGGTTATTGTAGCAAACAAACTTGGTGGCTTGACAAAAATTTATTTTCTTTATAGCACTAGAGGCCAGAAAAAGTGTCAGCCGGGCCGTGCTCCCTCTGAATGCTCTAGAGAAGAATCCTTCCCCATCTCTTCCAGCCTCCAGTGGCTCCAGGCATCCATCACTTGGATGTGGCTGCATAACTGTAACCTCTATCTCTGTCTTTAGATGCCCTTCTCATCTGTGTGTTTCCTTTTTTTTTTTTTTTTCTTTTTTTTCTTTCGTTCTGAGACAGAGTCTTGCTCTGTTACCCAGGCTGGAGTGCAGTGGTCTGATCTTGGCTTACTGCAACCTCTGCCTCCCAGGTTCAAGCGATTCTCCTGCCTCAGCCTCCTGAGTAGCTGGGATTACAGGTGTGCACCATCATGCCTGGCTAATTTTTGTGTTTTTAGTAGAGAGAGGGTTTCAACATGTTGGCCAGGCTGGTCTTGAACTCCTGACTTCAGGTAATCCGTCTGCCTAGACTCCCAAAGTGCTGGGATTACAGGTGTGAATCACTGCACTCGGCCTCATCTGCGTGTTTCTTAAAAGAACAATTGTCATTGGATTTAGGGCCTACCTTAATAATCCAGGTGATCTTGTTCTTGATATCCTTAACTCAATTACATTTGCAAAGACCCTTTTCAAATAACACCACATTCACTGTTTCTAGGGATTAGGACATGGACATATCTTTTGCCAGCACTCAACCCACTACAAGAAATCAAATGCCTTTAAAATGTTCCCATGTAAATGCCTTAATGGCAAAAGTCTCAACATTTTGTGTAGGGTCAAAAGTGAATCTAAATCTGAATTACTGCATGAAATGGAAACAGACAAAGAAGCAGTTTTAGAATATGCTGAAAAATGACAAACCCCATGAATTGAAATGCACAACATTGGGATCCTTTTTTCTTCTTAGGAATACTGGATTGGGATCTCAAAATGAAGACAAAGCTAACAATTTTAACTTCTTTTCAAAAACCTTCCTTGTGCTTCTGCACCTGCCAGAAGAGCTGGTGGAAATGATGAGAGGCAGCAAGAACTCTGTGCTGCCACAGCACAGGAACAGGTGGCTGATTGCTCAGGTTGGGATCCTGGAATCAACAGAAATCTGTTTCTTATTTAACATGATTTTTATATCTCACTCACTCTTCTCATTCCACATGGCTAAACTAACAAAATTTACAAGAACATGCCTATCTGTGTCTCTATAAATAATCAGAATTTAACCACATTATTTTCAATTTCAAGATCAGTTTTAGAATCTAAAGAGACTGAAAATTTTGATCTACATTTACTTGGTTACATATAGCTTTCATAAATACATAGATACTTTTGAAAGGACCTGGCACTACAGATTTACATTTTTCTTATGTTTATAACAGATTTTCCAAATTACCTATCAGTATATCCAGGAATTGATCAGGTGTGTGGGAAGATCTCTATATCAGTGCAGCCTAAGGCAGGCAGAGCTCTCAAGGAAGTTGGAATCATGGGCTGGTTTCAAGCAGCGTCATTCCACACTGAAGTGTTGCATGAATGTAATCAATTTCTATGTGTGCTTTGACATGAAGGAGACTGAGTCATTGTGTTGCAGCCACGCACAAATGAGCCAGAGGTTCATCTTTTCTTTTATCCAGCCTTTTGATTCTACCAATTCACAGTTAGTTCAAACTACAAGATCATTGCTGGAAATATAAGAAATTCTTCCATTGATCTTTTTGACAATAATAATGGAGAACTGGTTTGGGAATTTGTCCAGCACCTGGAAGAGTGATCAGTCTTCTTTTGTGTAGTTCTTCTCCACCAACACTAGTGTACAATGAACTGTAGCTTCTCTGCACTTAGTCCTGAGCTATATGCTCCCGATTCCATATACGTTCAGATAATATTACAAATTTAGCCTCTCCCAATCTGATAGTCAAATAGACTCATTACTACCTTGTGAATAAATTTTGAAAGAAATAGTTCTATGTATATATCTCCAAATGGATCCAGTCTAAGGGATATGTATACACTCCAATATTATTTTTTAAATATATAGTTTTTTCTAAATATGTGATAACAATAATAAGATTTTAAAAACAAATTCACAAAAGAGAGAGAAAGTGCAATAGCAGCATAATTTAGGAAACTGGACAGGAGTTGGATAAGAAATGATTAATGTAGATGTTTAGAGAAAGTTGAAACTCTAGCTTTTAGTTGAAACAGAAGCAAGTTACTTTATCTTAACCCCCAAGGAAGCTTGGAATTAGAGGCCTCTAGAGTACCAATGGAACCTTAAACCGATGGGTTGTTTGGAAACCTGCGGAAAGAGCAGAGCACCAGACACTCAACCTGCTTCATATACCTGGAAATTACAAATGAAGAGACTTTGATAATAGAGTTTAGTCATCCAATATCACAATCACAGTACAGGCTGGGGGATGGATCATATTAATAGTGAAGGTCCTTCATCAATGCTCCTTTATGATATTATGAGTGATATTTAAAAACGAAAATAGCCACGTGAGAAGAAATAAAAATGCAAATGTTCATGTAGGGGGAAGGTTGAACTGAAGCAAAACCAAAATCCCCCATGGATTAAAGGAGGCGGCATCACCTGCTCTGGTATTAAACGTGCATATTTCCATGCCAGGTGTGTGAGGAAAGGACGTTCCACATGCTCAATTTGTGCTTGTGGAAAAAATATAACAGAAGAACTCATTTTTAGGACATAGGAACAATGAGGGGGTAAACATTACCTTTATTTACCCAATCGTTTTAGATAGGTTTGAGTGACTATTGGGTTCTTTCGGAATCATGCCAAAGGAGCAGACGATGGGTCTGAGTCAATGATGTAGTTAATGTGTTGTTGGGAGTCGGGGTTGATATTGTTTAGTAACAGCCAAGTTACCAGGGAATGTGTTATGCTTCATTAGCACTCTGAAATCTATCATAAAAAAATACAAAAAATTTAGCTGGGCATGGTGGCGCGTGCCTGTAATCCCAGCTACTCAGGAGGCTGAGGCGGGAGAATTGCCTGAACCCAGGAGGCGGAGGTTGCGGTGAGCCGAGATGGCGCCATTGCACTCCAGCCTGGGTAAGAAGAGCGAAACTCCATCTTAAAAAAAAAAAAAAAGGTTTACTTAATTCGCTTTTGTGGTAATTAGCTGTGATTACTAGCATGCTTACTTTTCTGTTTCCATAATCCTCTTGAAAAAAAACTGTAATTCAAGGAATTTGTCTTTTTCATCTTATCTTTTCCATCCTACTCACGGTTCGTTGTCTATACTGAGTAGCAGTGCAACACCAGCCACAGGTTTGCGTATGGGCTGCAGGTGTCTGAATAGCACTGTGTAATGGCACAGAGGTATGTGGCTGAGTCTTCAGGCTGGGATCCTTTGATGTACAAATAGCTGTAACCCTCCTTTGTATTAAGGGTGACATTTATTCGTCCTTTCTTCTTTTCATCCCCATTTAAAGTCATTACAAGCAAGTTCTCGGGGCTTTTTGCAGTTTCCCATCTGTACCAGTGTAAGGCATAAAAATTGCTGGAAGGGAAGCTGCAGGTGAAATTGGTGCTGTCTCCCTCCTGAACCCGCAGTGACTGAGGACTTTGTTCCACATTCAGTATGCTGCTCGCGCCTGTTTGTTAGAAAGAGTCAGACATAGAAATTGGTCTCTCTACAGAGTTTGTATTTCCTTCACACATCCCCAAATAAAACCTAGGGTATCTGACTGCATCCTCCTCTTTCCTCATCATCACCCAAGACTGCTCAGAATGTCTCCTGTAACCCTCGGACTTACAGTCAAGATGAAGCCAGAGGATTAGTAATGGGGCTACCAAAGGATTCTTCTCCATGTTCCTTGCTTATGTGCTCTCGGCAGAAAAACGTTTTGCAGACAAAATCTGTGGAAATATTCTGCTTCAGGAAAGAGGATTCTGCATCTGGTTGCCCAGCCAATCAGAGACCACCTCCTATAAATGTCCTGGAAACACTCTGCCCTATATTCTGTTTCCTGTGGTTTGCAAAGAGGAGTTGAAGTGACTGTTTCTTCAGGCCAGCTTCATAAACATTGAGGAAATCCCCCTGAGTCTGAACACAAAGAGAATTGACAGCCTTTCAGAAGTGACTGCCTAACTGTTGACTGCTGCTATTCAAATTTAGAAGGAGTTACAGGTGGGATGCTAATTTTTGGTAGGAAGAGCACTTTTCTTTGAATCTTCAAATATTAAAAGCCAACATTTGAATCCCCCTCAAATTATAAATGTGTACATATCTAAGTGATAACTACTTTTTTCTTCATGTACATTTTCTAATACAAAAGTCATGAAATAGACATAGTACCGTTTCCAGTTGACAAACGAACAAACAAACAAAAAGCCAAGGCTCAAGGACATTAAGTAATTCGCTCAAGGTCAATTACCTAATGGTACATTAGGAATCAGAACATACATCTATCTAGTAGCTCTAGACTCTGTCATATTGGAAATCTGACATACCACCTACATTTGTGATGCACCGTGAGTGCTTTACATGTTAGCTATGTTCTAAAAATAATGGAAGTCTAATTTGTGGATATCCTTTATAATGGCTAAAAAAATGAAAACAACCTAAATGTCCATCAGCAGGTGAATGAGTAAACAAAGTGCAGTATGTTTATACAAGATATGAATGATATTCAGCAACATAAATAAATAAGCAAAAATAAAATATATAAAATAAAACATCAAATATATGGTATAACACAGATGAGCCTCAAAAACATTATTTTAAGAGAAAGAAGGCAGACACAAAAGATTACATGTTGAGTGATTCCATTGATATGAAATGTTCAGAAAAGGAACATCTATAAAGACATAAGCTGGTTGCCTGGAGCCAGGGTTGGGTTAGAGATTAACTATAATTTGGCATGAAGGATCTTTCTAGGGTTTTAAAAAGTATTTACAAATAAATTATGGCAATAGTTTCATAAATCAGTGATTAATTAAAAATCATTGAACCATACATTCAAAATGGATGAATTTATAGAATGTAAACATGCTCCAATAAAGTTATTGAAAAGTAAATAAGAATTACGCTGTCTTCTTCTGTCACAGTCCAGATATAATGTTAGTTTGATTCATTATAGATGTATTTGTTTAAACAGTAATTTTTGTGTTTTGAGTTTCCCTAGGAGCTTTGAGGAATTAAAAATTACAAAGCTACAGCCTCATCTAGGGGAGAGGAAAAGAAAGAAAAAAAAATTACAAAGCAACATTCCCTTCCCTGTGAGCCCAAAATGTAATTAGAGAAATAAGATATATCCAAGGGAAATTTACTAGTACAAGATAGCATTAATTAATTTTTTTCAGAATATAAATTCATCCTCTGGGTATTTGGTGTATGAAGTGCCTTTAAAACCTTTCCAGTGAACGACTGTAATAAGCAAAGGGAACAGCATGGGTATGTACTAAAACCAGGGGACAGCACTTTCCGCGTACATTTAAATCATGCTCTAAAAAATTAGAACAGGATTAGAAAATATCTCAATGGTTAACTTCTAGCTTTCCTTCCCAGGAACAGAAATAAAGGTATGGGCAGTAAAGGAAATCCTGGAAGCCTCAGTAGTGACTCCCAGTTCAGAAGCATGAGGACTAGGGTTAGGGATGGGCTGCTAGACAAGCCATTCCAGTCAAGATAGTTTCTTTTCCTGATCACAGCATTCGGATGACTTCATCATAGGAGAGTGAAGGCATGGCCACAGCCACTCAGAAAGACTACATGCTGTGGAGTTCATTTCTGGTGAGAATACTGATCCGCTGAAAAAGTCACCCACAGGTTGGAGGAGCAGTGTCCAGACCAAGAAGGGCATACCTCTAACAGCAGGAAGAATTCCTCTATCTATAACAGTTGGACAGAATCCTACAAGGTGTAGCCATACATTTTACCTAAAGTAAAAACCAAGCCTGTTGGCAACTAAATACAGCCTTACAGGAAAAGTAAACAATGAGGTTCTCTTTCTGGAAGTGTGCTTGATCCTAGTTTCCTTCATCTTCACTTTGGCCACAAAACAATTCAACTAGTACTATCAATCTTTATCATTCTTAACAGCCTAATATATCAAGGGAGGATTCTAAATGTACCCACCTGATAATGAAGAGAAACAGGTTAATTTACTTTCTCTGTTTTGAGTAGATAGTGGGCCTGTATTGCAAGTTGGGTGTCGTGTGTGTGTGTGTGTGTGTATGTGTGTGTGTGTGTGTATACACAGAATTTTTTAAAACATAAAGATATATATATCTACATGAGGCCTCTAAAAAACTTTTGCAACATAAAAGACAAGATGCACGTACCACAGGGGAAAATGCCTCAAAATTTCTTCCACCTCATTTCCCCAGTGAGGTGAGTAAAGTAAGGGATTTATAGCAAAAATTCTTAAGAAGATTATTTATTAATTCACCAAAAGTGTAAAAAAAAGCAATGGAGATAAACCAAAGTTAGTATTCAACTATTTAGCATTTACTTATTTAAATATTACATTAAGAGACTTACAGGATAGAAATCCTGACAATTCTGGATAAATAACACAAAGATTAATCCAGCTTAAACTTTTTTTTTTAATTGCATTTTAGGTTTTGGGGTACATGAGCAGAACATGCAGGACAGTTGCGTAGGTACACACTTGGCAGTGTGTTTTGCTTCCTTTCTCCCCTTCACCCACATTTGGCATTTCTCCCCAGGCTATCCCTCCCCACCTCCCCCTCCCACTGGCCCTCCCCTTTTTCCCCCAATAGACCCCAGTGTTTAGTACTCCCCTCCCTGTTTCCATGTGTTCTCATTTTTCATCACCCGCCTATGAGTGAGAATATGCGGTGTTTCATTTTCTGTTCTTGTGTCAGTTTGCTGAGAATGATGTTCTCCAGATTCATCCGTGTCCCTACAAACGACACAAACTCATCATTTCTGATTGCTGCATAATATTCCATGGTGTATATGTGCCACATTTTTCCAATCCAGTCTATCATCAATGGGCATTTTGGTTGATTCCAGGTCTTTGCTATTGTAAACAGTGCTGCAATGAACATTCATGTGCATGTGTCCTTATAGTAGAACGATTTATAGTCCTTTGGATATATACCCAGTAATGAAATTGCTGGGTCAAATGGAATTTCTATTTCTAAGGCCTTGAGGAATCGCCACACTGTCTTCCACAATGGTTGAACTAATTTACACTCCCACCAACAGTGTAAAAGTGTTCCTTTTTCTCCACATCCTCTCCAGCATCTGTTGTCTCCAGATTTTTTAATGATCGCCATTCTAACTGGCGTGAGATGGTATCTCAATGTGGTTTTGATTTGCATCTCTCTGATGACCAGTGACAATGAGCATTTTTTCATATGATTGTTGGCCTCATATATGTCTTCTTTCGTAAAGTGTCTGTTCATATCCTTTGCCCACTTTTGAATGGGCTTGTTTGTTTTTTTCTTGTAAATCTGTTTGAGTTCTTCATAAATTCTGGATATCAGCCAGATGGGTAAACTGCAAAAATTTTTTCCCATTCTGTTAACCAACAGATTCACTCTAGTGACTGTTTCTTTTGCCATGCAGAAGCTGTGGAGTTTGATTAGGTCCCATTTGTCTATTTTGGCTTTTGTTGCCAATGCTTTTGGTGTTTTGTTCATGAAGTCCTTGCCTATTCCTATGTCCTGGATAGTTTTGCCCAGATTTCCTTCTAGGGTTTTTATCATGCCAGGTCAGCTTAAACTTTTATATTAATATTTGAATTGCAAGAACTCTGGACATAATTTAACCTTTTATGAACTCATTCAACAAACGTATATTGATTATGTCTCCCGTGTGCTACATGGTGAACATGGTAGCGAAGAGATAGAAAAAGGGCTAGTGTGCAGTGAAAATAAATTAAATAAACGTGTTTTTACAAAATAAGATAATTCTACATAGTGATAAGCTCTATGAAGACAATATAAAACTGTAATGAGATAGAGAGTTATTCTTGGGGTGAGAAAAGGTATCTGCCCTACATAGGGGATGGAGGAAAGGCTCAACTCTGACACTTTGTGATGCTAGGCAAGACATTTAACCTCTCTCATATTCAATTTCCTTTTCGGTAAGTAACCAGTAGCTTTTTGTTGGTACTGGCTAAGCATTAGGATCTTGTTTATTTCTCAAAATAACCCTTAGTAGTAAGTACTATCAATATCCACATTGTAGGGATAAGAAAACTGAAGCATTAATGTTATTAAGTAATTTGGTCAAGATAATTCAACCAATGAGTAGTAGGTCCAGAAATCCAATCCAAGCCTATGTAATAGTTATGCCATTACTTTATAAGTAATGGAAAAAACAGAAATTACTTTTGCACAACTTAATAAATCATCTAGTACAATAACTTCTGTGTCTCGAGCACTCAACCAGATGTCTTCAATGTAGAAAATATTGGGGCTTGTCACAATCTGAAATGGCAGTGCGGTCTATCTACAAGATAAAACTCAGTATTTTTCCAAGAGATACTTTGAAATTTGCATAGTATATTTTATGTACTGTAATAAATATCTATGTTCTATCATGTTTCTTACTGTTAATTGGAAATCAGCTGGATTATGATGCTTTTTGGGAGGTTGGGACACATATGATAACATGGATAGGGTTTGCTACACAGTTTCCTACAGTGGCTTATTTTTCTGCATCATTGACTCTTGCTCCCACTTCTTAGGATATTTCTATATGACAGAGCAGTAGACGAACTCTCACTTAATAGAGAAAAAGCTCCCACTTTGTGCAATAATGCCAAGCTTTGTTTCCAAGGTATTCTATTAGCCGAAATCATTCCAAATATTACATTTGCCATTTTGAAATCAATCACCTTCGCATATTCAGGGAAAAAAGATTTTAAAAAAGAAA